ACATAACTTTTTGGTTCATTATTTAACACTATTCGGTCTATTATCTTCATCTTTGTCGCCATATTTATTACAACGTTTTGGCCGTTGTACTCTCCGGCCTTCTTTAGGTGATTGGAATGTCGAACTGAACCCATTACTTCTGTTCTTGGCCGAAACGTTGTAATAAATATGGCGACAAAGATGAGGACAATAGTCCGAATAATGTAAATAGTGTACATAATACCTCATCTCAGAAATATAGACAGATATTGTTGGTTCATATTAATCAAAATTGTTTGTACGAATCCTTTCTGCCTAAATATATCTTCAATATATGTGTATATTTCTGAGATGTGATATTGAAATTATTTACATTGTTCGGACTATTGTCCTCATCTTTATTTCCAGCTGTTACGATGTGTTCGCCATCTTGTTTCGACTTAGGCCGTTTGCCTAGATTCAACATCATCACTTGATAAGATACCAGTAGTGTTGACAGAAAATGGCTATTTTTGTAGTGATTTTATTATATATTTATGTTATAATTCAAGAAATATTATATATATATATATATATATATATATATATATATGTTGAATTTGGTAGGTCAAACTATGTTTCTGTTTGTTGTTTTTTTTACTCATTTACTTTTTCCCCGTGTAGACAACTATTTTCAAGGGTATTTTTCTCGCGTGATTAATTTAAGGTGGTTTGTTGATACTCCTTCGTCAATTTTGTGTGAAGATCACTTTAGCATTATATATATATATATATATATATATATATATATTTGTGTGTGTGTGTGTGTGTGTGTGTGTGTGTGTGTGGGCGTGTGGGTGTCTGGGCGTGATAACATGGTTAAATAAATTTAATCATGCACCACGAAAATAGATTCATATTTCTGCACACCACTGAAAATGACCAAATATGGGAAAAAATACAAATCGATTACGCCCTGTCACTCTACTGGGTCTAAAACTGGCCGTCTGGTGAAAGAAAGAAAACTAAAGCGGTTGTTTCAATTAATTTGCACAAGGTTATATATATATATATATATATATATATATATAGAGAGAGAGAGAGAGAGAGAGTCCACAGACACACTGCTTCGCTGTATCACAGCTCTTCAGTGTGTCTAGCCGGGATCAAAACCCGACTGATTTGGCATCAGTCAGAGATCCTACTCCTAGGCTATCGTCACATGGCAGAGTGAAAGGGAAATTTTAATGTTTTCTGTAAAAAAAAAAATACGCCAGTAGCCAGGTGAGCTCAATTCATAGTCGAAGAGCAATGTTTAATAACAGTAGGAGACACTTTTTTAAAAAAATGCCCTTTCCTCCAGAGATCTCAGCAGGATTTACCGAGAGCATATACATATTCATCCACAGAAAGACCGTTTTGCTGTATCACAGCTCTTCAGTGTGGCTAGACGTCTAATTGATTCAGGCCGGATTTAATGAATATTCGTATTTGGAATAGACGCCTCATTCTTTATTACTTTAAATAGTGTTTATTACACCTATCGGCCTATATATTTGAGAAATCTTAATAAAGAAAATGTGCTTTCCGGCAGGAATCGAACCTACATACCTGTCTGTAGGAAGAACCGCCGTCTGATCCGCTCGGCTACGTAGCGCGTGCTTTTCTCTTTTCAGGTAAGCACCCTTCCACACTAAGTGGGATATACAGGATGTCCCAAAATAATGTATACACTCTTTAAATACTAATAGTTAATAATAGATTACCGTGATGTGAGAACTTATATGAATGAAAATATGCAAAACAGATGGATTGGAAGAAGAGGGACAGTTGAATAGCCACCTAGATCACCAGATTTGACACCCTTGGATTTCTTTTTGTGGGGTTTCTAAAAGACAAATTTACAACAGGAACCCTGAAACAATTGTGGAAATGAGAGTAGCAATTGAAGAAGAATGTGCTCAAATACCAGAGGAAATGATACTGGACGTTTTGTAGGTCTATTTCTTAAAGATATGAAAAGTGTATTGAACAGAATGGCAACCAGTTTGAGCACTTGATGTGAACTCATCATTATATGAACATTCTGCGATTGTCCCACGTAGGTTTTATCTTATTAAAGTTTATTTTCTATGTTTTTTGTATATTTTACTCTCAAATTCTTTAAATGTGTATTATTTCTCTTGTATTAATCTTATTTACAAGTCAAAATACATAAATTGAATAAGTTATAACGATTCAAAGAGTGTATACATTATTTTGGGACACTCTGTGTATGGATTACTTCAAACATTCATAGTAATTAAACGGTGTATATTACGTCCATCGAACTGCGCATTCGCGAGGTTGCCTTTCCCGGCAGTAAATAATATTGAAGTAATAAAAATGTCGGTATAAATATACATCCATTAATTGTTTAGAAATTTCTTTCTTTATGTTTCGGATACGAAACTAAGGAGACATGAAGCTTTCAATAAAAAAAAAGATCTGAGAGAAGCGAGTGTGCTTTCCTTTAAAACAAACAACGGGAAAATAGAACTTTACTTACTGTGTCACTTTTCGTGGTCGAGTGGTAAAGCACACTAAATCAAACGGTGATTTCGTCTGCATCGAAAACGCATTCCGTTTACTAAGATTTTTCGAATGCGCAGACCAACAGATGTAATGTACACTGTGTATTTAAAAAAAAAAATTGGGTCGTCTTTTTCAAATACGAAGTATCCGCTATGATAACGTTTCAAGTAATATAATTACCGTGTCACTATTCGCCTATGCATGGAATATGGTTGCCATATATGGTCTGGGGCACCCGTTGTTCGTCTTAATGTCCTCAACAACATCCAGAGACACAAACGACACATGCATAGAATATGGTTGCCATATATGGTCTGGAGCACCCGTTGTTCGTCTTAATGTCCTCAACAACATCCAGAGACACAAACGGCACATGCATAGAATATGGTTGCCATATATGGTCTGGAGCACCCGTTGTTCGTCTTAATGTCCTCAACAACATCCAGAGACACAAACACAAGAGACCGAAAAATCTATCAAGTGTCTTGAAAACGTATATATACGCCGACAGCAGGCAATGTAAGTTACGTTCTCGCCTGAGTCCATCCTTCAAATGTATAAATCAGCCATTCGCCCTTGCATGGAATATTGCTGTTATATATGGTCTGGAGCACCTGCTGTTTGTCTTAGGGTCCTCGACAAAATCCAGAGACGGATATGCAATGTGACTGGCAATGATCTGGCATCTCGTTTACAGTTGCTCTCTCACAGTCGTGCCGTTGCTTCCCTCTGTCTTTTCTACAAATACTTTCACGGTAACAGCTCCGACGAACTACTTTCGCTGGTTCCCAAATTGCATGAATTTAAACGTACTACTAGGTTGGCATTTCAGTCCCACTATCGAAATAGATAAATGTAGCCGTCTCTTCTACTCCAATAGCCTCATGTCTCGCACTTCCTGTTTGTGGAACTCTCTTCATCTTACTTGTTTCCCTGATAGCTATAATCTTCAATTATTCAAATGTAATGTCAATCGATATATTCAGATACCTTAATATAATTCCCCGTCATCTCCTCTATCACGCCTCTTTACTCTTGCTCCCACTCTCTAGTGGCATTCCCGCTTTGCTTGGGTGAAATGCTTAAAAGAAAAAATAATTAAAAATAAACCGGTGCTGCTTTAGGGTGTGTCCCTCTGATCAGGGTTTCCTATAACCACATTTGTATCCTACATTATCTAACGAAAGAAGAAAAACAGAAGGAGAGATGTCATTTATTGTTGTATTATAAAATTAAAAACAAAAAAAAATTATAAGAAATTTGACTAAAAAGTCATGAAACAAGATATTTGAATCCTTTAAAAAAAACATTCTGAGTGACTTTTAACATATCGAGAAAAAAAGTCGGGACTATGCCTTAATAATGTAGGATACACATGTGGTGGTAGGATGCACATGTGGTGGTAGGATGCACATGTGGTGGTAGGATACACACTGAAGCAGAAACTAAGCAGTAGGACACACGCTAAAGCCTCACCAATAAATGTGTTATTGATAATGGATAATGGATACAAACTTGTGGAGCATGCATTCACAACGCTATGGTTGAATTTTTTTTCCCGGATGCTACCTGAATTTTACCAAAAACAAAATAATCTCCATGCCTGTTGAAGGAAGACCTTATACAGCTTATAATTTTTAAAAACAAGGATCATAACATTCATCGAGTGATTTGCAGGTTAATGCAACTTTAAAATTTTGCTAGCGAATGGATTTCGCCATTTTATATCATTAACTTTACTAATTTACTTTTTGTCTGAATAATTCATTGTAATATAAATTGAACTGTATCACGTATTTGATATATATATATATATATATATATATATATATATATATATATATATATATATATATGTGTGCGTGTGTGTAAGCGTATAGAGTTATAAAGAATGTATTTCGTATGTAGGGTTAGATATCTAGATATACACATCTGCATGCACACACACACACACATATATATACACAAGGATGTATGTACATAAACACGCATACCTGCACACATGTGTACATGGGAGCCTCATTACACACTGGCCATCTAGTGTTTCCCATTCTGTTTTCTGAAGGACCAGGCGTAAATATAACAAAAAAGCAAAAGTCCTTAGATTACATTATGATGTCAGCGTGGGAGTGGATGGGGAGCTTAGGGCTTCGGGTTAGGAAGGCAAGAGTGGGGTTCGGTGCGTTAGGTAGGGGTGTCGGTTGTATGGAAAGAGGCGCCAGTGTGTCAGGTCGGTTTACACACTTCCTTGGATGACTCCACCATGGTTAATGAAAACACTACTCACGTAGCCGATGCCTGGATCAGATGTCGTTTCGTTGCCTGTCAACGTGGTGGTCCGGCCGTAGGGAAAGAAAGGAAGTAGTCATGAGTAGAAAGAAAAAGAAAAACGAAAGCCGGGGATTGTGAATGAGGAGAGCGCGGGGAAAAAAAAGAATAGGAAGAAAGAAGAATGAAATAAATTGGGGTCAACTCTTAAGAAGAAAAAAAAGCGCCGATAAAAAAAAAGGTGAGACTTTCTGATAAAAAGAAAAGAAACGATAGAGGAGGATGAATATGAGAAGGAAGGAAGGAACGAACGAAGGATAAACTGATGTCAAATACAAGGAATAAAAAAGAAATGAGTCTGATAGGAAGAAAAAGAAAATAAGAATTAAAAAGTACAAAAAAAAAACAGAAGAAAGGAAGACGGAAAAAAAGGAAAGAAGCAGAAAAAAAGAAGGAATAAATTTATAAAAATTCTTAGAAGTAGAAAAAAAAAAGTAGAGATTTGAAGGAAAAAAGGCAAATGAATGACAGAAGGAAAAACTTTTTCTATAAACTTTTAAGGGAATAAAATAAAGAAAAAAACGAAAATAGATAAAAGACAAGAAAATAAAGAACGAAACGAGAAAAGTGATAAAGTAAGAAAAAGAAAAGAAATAGAACATTGCAAAAAAGAAAGAAAGAAAAAAATCAATATGGATAGAAGGATAATAGAAATTTATGCAAATAGTGCGGTGGAGTGTGTGGTATGATGATAGCGAGAAGATAAAGAAGCGAAAAGGGTAAAATATAGAATCAATCATGAAAACAAAGTTGAAAGAAAATATACACAAAAATGGATTCAACAGAAAATCATGGCGGAGAAAAGTCGAAAAGAAAGAAAAACAAACAGTAAGAGTAAAAAAAAAAAAAAAACAAGAACTGGTAATAAAAAAAATAAAAATAGGACTCCGACGAATTCAATATGTTCCTCTCAGTTTACACGCCTGCCATAAACCAAGTTGGCAGAATCGAGTTACTTCCCCTTTTTCTCCCCACTCTGCAGTTGATTGGATTACAATTCTTCAGCTGTTTGATGCTTTTTAACTATAAGTTTCAATTACTTGGTCTACCCTCCTGTGGCCGGTTCTAAGTTCTCCATTTTTCATGTGTTCTGCCTTGTAGCCTGTTAACACATGAAAGTAGTTTTGTGAGTCCGTGTTCGTTTCTTAGCCTATATACGTCTCTGCTTCTCTAAATACTGGTTGGCTAGTTTCTTTTGAGCCACAGCCTGCACAAGTGCGCATGCGTGAGTCAGAATATGGTTTAGTTTCACTGTTGCTTGCTGTAAAGTATTGTGTGTTCTCTATGCGAGTATTTGCCAGAGAAATCTGATGGATCATCATTGTTATTACTATTGTTATTATTATTATTATTATCGCTTATTTTAATCTGCCCATCCAAAGTATTAATATTTCTTTCTTTTTTTTTATTCAATCTTTCTTTTTCTAACATTTGTAGGTTTTTGTGTTTGCGAATATGTCGACTTGTATGCACGTCCCTACTTCCGAAATTTGAGCACCATTATGCGTGTTACTGGATGTAATTCTATCGGTCAAAACGCGTCTCTGTGTTTGCGCACACCATGCATGCTTCGATGATTGGTCGGGTAAAGGTATACATATGGAGACATACGTGTATGCATAATTTATTTGCATATCTAATATTACTAAGTGACTTTGAAGATATGTACATGCTTGCAAATGTCTGTGCACACATATATCAGTATTTATATGTGAATGAGTGTGATCATTTGTATATAGATGTGTCTTTAGGATTGTTCGTAGTTACATAAGAATGTTTCTGCCCGAAAATATATAACATTCTTTCAAAGCATTTATTTATATGAGTAATATCTGTGAGTTTAAATACATGTAAATTATTCATACACATATACGAACACATATACGCAAATAAACACATATGTGTGTATGGGTTTAGGTCATTGTGCAGCTATGTAGTGCATATTAAATATATACGGAGAGCTGCCGTCATTTGATATGAAATGCTTTAAAATTTGTAATCACTTTTTGTTTTGTTTTTGTTTTTTTACAGTTGATTTGGCAGAGTATTTTTCTTTGTCGACCAAAGTCTGAAAGTAATTATAAGCACCATGGATCTGTGTTATATGTTTAAATATGTCACTATGCTCGGAGAGATGACAGGTCAGTCTTCTAGAAAGATATGTTGTTTTATAAGTAACACACACACACACACATATATATATATATATATATATATATATATATATATATATATGGGGGTATTACAATCGTTAGAAATGTATTCTCTGAGGGTGACAAAACAGTATCAATAAAATTTGTTTCAATCTAGGGGCGCACGTGTTAAAATGCATTTGAGCTCTAAGTTCCTTTTTAGGTAAGGTACACTAAAATATATTTTCAAATAATAGTATGGGAACCAATTTCAAACTTCGGACTGTTTAAACAACAGAAGCACTCCAGTGACTATCTCCCGACTTTCTACCTTCTTACCCCGAAAACGACCAAGGATTATCGAAAGAAAGCGGAACATAACACACAATTTCGTCAAATTCTTTCACAATTTTCAATATGACACCCAGAAAATATCACCAAAAGGATTAACAAATATTCTATATCAGTTCTTTTTAACACAAGCACACATATTTTATATATATATATA